CTGCTTATAAAACCAGATCTTAAATGCTCCTCCAGTCACCTGGTCCCTACAGGTCTGACAATGTAATGCAGCACCACAGAAGTTTGCCAAGTTATATTTTTTTTATAGTAAACAAAAGAACAATTCCTGTTAAAACTGTCAACATGCATCATTATTTTAATCTTGATCATAAATTGCCTTCTTTGTCCTCACTGTTTCCCAAGGCAGTGAATGCAATTCAGGTGTCCACCTTCACCTAGTGCTTCCCTCCCAGCCCTGAACTTCCTGCTCTAATCAGGAAAGGCACTTAGCCAAGGCCACAAATACCACCTTGTTAACAGTACAACAGCACAGAGCAGCATGCTTAGTCAGCTGCTTTATGTTACCTTCCCAAACCACACCATTACTCCACCCAAGCCCTCATTTGCCTTAGTCTTTGCCTACTATGAGAAGGACACACATGCAGAGGTAGAACCTTGAAACATCAGGTCTCTGACACTACCATATACTTCAACAGTCACTGCAATTTAAGATACCAAGCAATTAAAGCATGACTTGCTTGCTTCTGTAAAATTAAATATTAATTTCCTGTTTTTACAGAAATCTGGTGTCCCCATCATCATTCTGCACATTCAAAACACTTCCAAAGTAGTCTTCTTGAAACATGCTGAAGTCTGGCTTGATCTGTAGCACAAACATCATATTGCCCCTTCACTGAAACTTGAGAATAGTGGTATCTATTACTTCTCATTAACTCCAGACCTATTGTCCTCCTTTATCAGCACGGAAATAAACAAAAATGGATCATCTGACAACAAGAAATAAGCACCTAAAATATTGATGAGACTTTTAGAATAAGACTCCCTTTGTTCACATCTGAGTTTCTGATGCCAGGCTAGCAATATTTTTCATTAATTCCTGATACCGATAGAAGGATCAAATGACTGAAAATTAAGGAGGCAATAGGAGGCATAGATCATTAAAGATACATGAAGGAATTAAAATCCACATAGATTTCAATAAGACCTATTAAAAAACAGGTGTGTCCATTTTTACATAGCACATTATAGTTTATTTTTACTTACTCAGATTCGATCACCAAAAAGCAAGATGCAAAGGAGCACACTAGGCTTGGAAAAATACTCTTTATAAAATTGTAGCATAACCAACTACTTGTCAATCATCCCTAACAAAGTTTTAGAAGTTTTCACAGTTAATTTTCAGAGATTCCTGTGGTATTTTACTCATCATTAATGCATATTATACCACCTTAAAAACAGGCAACATCCTACCTGTGTTTTTTGATTCCGTTAGACAGCGACTCCCCACTGCCACAAACCTTTTCTTCAGACATGCTTGAAGTTATTGTATCTTTTGAATCCATGCTGTCCTCTAATGAGTAGGCTGTTGTTTCAAAACCACTTAATGACTTTTCAGATTCTGAATCTGCAAAAGAGCAGGTGCATGTTAATGAATCTACTGCCTGTGCTAGACTTCAGTCACTAATAGATCTTCCCTCTTTGTACAAAACTGAAACCTAAGTAGGCTACTGTGTCCTGGTGACAGCATCCGTTTGGTAAGTAACTAGTACTGCTACAGACTGCTGCAGCTCTGTATCTAGATTGAGACTAAAGAGACTGCAAGGTAAACACAAACACAGTAGATTAAAAATCCTCTATCAAACAGAGCCAAAAATCTGATACTTTTATTAAACTGAAGCTACTATAACTTGCTTAGGACAAGCGCCAGTTTCACGTAGATGCCAGTATTTTACCTAACTAAATACCAGTTACCTCAATGTTCAAGTATTGACTCCTCCTATATAAGATTTCAGTTTGGTCTAAACCCTTAGACGCTTGGTGCTGTTTAGCAACCTTCACATCCCAACTTACTGAACAAGTATCAAAGAACAGAAGGAGGTATCGTACGCAGTAGATTGCATCAGCCACGTAAGTCCCTGTGAAGTCTAAATGATAAGCTCACCAATCAATTAGATAAACTTTGTACTCTGGAAGGTGGGTTAATAGTACAATCCACGTCACCTCTAAACCAAAACCCAACATCAATGACACCACCTTCCAACCAGTGTTTTGGTCAGGTAGTGATTGACAAGTTCCGGAGAAGAGACTGTCTTACCCAAAATCAGAAAGTAAAAGCATCCTGGCAAAAGGCTGTATTTTTGTTTCATGTTTTTCTTTCAAATTTGACAAGATTGTCAAAGGATTATCCAACCACAAGTTTCAGGAAGCAAGGGAACAGCTGAAGACAAGTAAAAATTGCACCAATTTCTATCCCCATTTGGGAAATCCTTTAGCAGAAACCAGGTACAACACTGAATGGGCAACAGCTAAATGCAAGCCTCACCACTTCTGTAAAAAGCATACACAAACTGTAGTAGACACCATCCCTGCTATGTACTTCTCTCAGCATATGCTACTGCTCTTGGCTACAAATACCCAGAGAAATAATTGCAAGATTAGTCATTCTCTCACACACTGATTCTAATCCAAAACTAGTCATCAAAACCTGCCGAAGTAGAAGTCCACCCAAAATAACGTCTCAGTCACAAGCTGTCCATTGCCAAGTGCTTTGTTGATTTCTCTTAAAAAACAATGTTAGTAGCTTCTCCAGAACATGTATATTGTATGTTGGTTTGGTGAAGGGGACAATGACAAGAGGACTTTCTACTATATCCAGATTACAGAAGAGTCAAAATCCTGATGAATGGGTGGGCTGTGCCACATCATCTCCATCCTCTCTAGAGCGAGTGAGATCTAGAAGCATAGAGGAGATCTTTCCTTTCATTAAAAACATCCATCCCTATCCTTGCGAAGACAGTACTGAAGTTAAGCCAGTTGCTAGGGAATTAAAAGAACTGCCAGCTGGTGCTGAGGATATGTTAAAAAAAGTGGACTGGCACTCCAGAGATTCTTCTCACAAGTTTCCCCAAATTTGTCAGTCTAGTTCTGTGCCAAATTATGACATAACATATCAAAGCATTAGTTTGGTGGGTACTGTATATAACAAGTAGGATAAGGAGAAGCATTTTTACTTGTGGACAAGTCTGTTACATAAAATACAGATTTCTCCAGATAAGTCCAGGTAGTCAGGAAAACACTGTTGTGTATCCAACTATCACAGAAGAGGAGACACTCCAGTAGCAAAACCCAACTTGGGCCTCAGCATCCTGACCACATGACAAGCTATAAATCCCTGCAAGGTAAGTATTCCACCTTTCTATTGAAAGAGCTGCTCAACTGTGCCAACAGTTATTGTGACAAGAAAAGCATGAAGCAAACCCTGTAACATAAAGCAAAAAGTCTGCCACCTATAAGGTTTCTTTCTTCTCCCGTATCATCTGGGACTGTCATGTTTTCAGACAAGAGTCACAACACAATTCCCTCAACTTGATTTTCTGCAACAGACCTGGGACTCAGAGGCAGAAAGGGAAGAACAGGGAAGCTTCGCCAGAACTGCTGACCACTCTCTGCTATGCTTCTCAGTATAACGAGGGTTTTTAAACACTACACGATCAGTTCTCCTCATGCTGGCCTTACAGTGCCTAGAGACAGTTATGCTGGACTGAGCTCAGCACCTGCAAACCTCTCTAGAGCTGTAGGCACTGACCAGCCAGTATTCTCCAGCACACATCTTACTTAATACAAGAGCATGCTATACAATAAATAACAGCAGAATGAAACCGTACACTGTTATAAGAAGTTGCTCTCTAGAGACATCTATCCCATTTTCCTAAGAAAGTATGTCCTAAGACATACTTCTCATTGAGAAAGTATGTCTACAACAGCTCCTGCCATCAAAGATCTCAATCTCCAAACCTTAAACCTCACCTACCACCTTTGACCCAAGGAGCTTAACAAGCCTTCAGAGTCTGTTTAGGTGTCAGAGTGAACAAGCCTTAGTATCGTATTATAAGCACAGATCAACAGGCAACTCAAACTGAGCTTTTTCCAGCATACTTGCAGCTAAATCTTTTCTGAATTAAGATTTGCACACTCCCCCGTCACTGCAAAAAAAGATTTATATTCACAAGTTGCTACAGAGCAGCTGTCAAACAGATGACTAGGAGAAAACGAGGGTTTTTTTTTTCTACTGAACTTCAGAGAGTGTGGGCTGAGGAGAGGGGAGAAGGAATAAGAGCCCCTGTTCAGAAGCCAAAATTTTTAAGTGATCTTTGAGACAAGACCAGGCTGACTGGGAAGCTTTCCAGCTCATGAAAACTGAAGTCTCAGGGTAACAGTTCAAACACCAGCTACGTTTTGCAAGAGGGGGAGAGCAAGAGGAAACAGAAGCAGCAATGACAAACTTAACTCAAGGGAAATTCATCTTGTATTGCAACAAATGGAAAGTCTTCAGTTCTAGATAGAAAGGTTTGGCCAATGTATTTGATTAATAAATACACCTGAGAAAGGTAGCGTTTAACCACTGGCAAGGTTGGGTTTGAATTCTGACCAGATGTTTCCTACCCCTCTCCGAGATACCTGAATTCATTCTTTTAACTATATTCAAAGCAAGAAGTCCGCAGGCAGCATTGTTTTTTGTATATGTTAAAAAAAAAGCCACTCAACAAAGCACCCTCAACAGTGAAGGAAGGACAGTAAGTTTCTATGCTTTTTGTACAGCTTTTACTTTTAAGTGAGCCGATAACTGGAGACAAACTAGGAAGTGAGTAAATCCAACAGAACTAGCCTATTACTTCTTGTACCATTTAGGAGCATTACGTACCACTAATGGGTGCTGTGTTTATAAGTAACAGTTGAAGCTGTATTATGACACGTTATCTTTAGTATAATCTAAATATTCCTGTATCTAAGTAACTGCTTTTATAGTAAGATTGCATCTCTGCAAAACCATTGATACCCAC